CCAACGAAAAATGATTTAAAATGAAAGATATAAGTCCTAGGAAACCATTTTTAGCATTTTAAGACATTTTTTGAACAATTGAAAAAGTCGTCAAAATTGACCAAAATGATAAGGGGTAAGCTTTAAAATTTTGGTCAATTTTGACGACTTTTTCATTTGTTTTTCTAAAAATGCTCTAAAATGAAAGATATTAGTCTTATGAAGCAATTTTTAGCCATTTAAGACAGTTTTTGAACAATTGAAAAAGTCGTCAAAATTGACCAAAATGGTAAGGGGTAAGACTTACCATTTTTGACGACTTTTTCAATGTACCAAATACCAACCAAATATGATCTAAAATGGAAGATATTAATCTTATGAAGCAATTTTTAGCATTTTAAGACAGTTTTTGAACAGTTGAAAAAGTGGTCAAAATTGACCAAAATGGTAAGGCGTAAGACTTACCATTTTTGACGACTTTTTCAATGTTCCAAAACCTAAGCAAATATGATCTAAATTGAAAGATATTAGTCTTATAAAGCAATTTTTAGCATTTTAAGACAGTTTTTGAACAGTTGAAAAAGTCGTCAAAATTTACCAAAATGGTAAGGGGTAAGCCTTACCATTTTCGTCAATTTTGACGACTTTTTCAACGGTTCAAAAAATTTCTCAAAATGCTCTAAAATGAAAGATTTAAGTCTAAGGATGAAATTTTTAGCATTTTAAGACAGTTTTTGAACAATTCAAAAAGTCGTCAAAATTGACCAAAATGGTAAAAGGGGTAAGACTTACCATTTTTGACGACTTTTTCAATGTTCCAAAAACCAATCAAATATGATCTAAATTGAATGATATTAGTCTTATAAAGCAATTTTTAGCATTTTAGGAAAGTTTTTGATTACTTGAAAGAGTCGTCAAAATTGACCAAAATGGTAAGGGGTAAGGCTTACCATTTTTTACGACTTTTTCAATGTTCCAAAAACCAACCAAAATATGATCTAAAATGAAAGATATTAGTCTTAGTAAGCAATTTTTAGCATTTCAAGACAGTTTTTGAACAATTCAAAAAGTCGTCAAAATTTACCAAAATGGTAAGGGGTAAGACTTACCATTTTGGTCAATTTTGACGACTTTTTCAACGGTTCAAAAAATTTCTCAAAATGCTCTAAAATGAAAGATTTAAGTCTTAGGATGTAATTTTTAGCATTTTAAGACAGTTTTTGAACAGTTCAAAAAGTCGTCAAAATTGACCAAAATGGTAAAAGGGGTAAGACTTACCATTTTTGAGGACTTTTTCAATGCTCCAAAAACCAACTAAATATGCTCTAGAATGAAAGATATTAGTCTTAAAAAGCAATTTTTAACATTTAAAGACACTTTTTGAACAATTGAAAAAGTCGTCAAAATTGACCAAAATGATAAGGGGTAAGCCTTACCTTTTTGCTCAATTTTGACGACTTTTTCAATGTTCCAAAAACCAACCAAATATGCTCTAAAATGAAAGATATTACTGTTAGGAAGCCATTTTTAGCATTTTAAGATACTTTTTTAACAGTTGAAAAAATCGTCAAAATTGACCAACCTTACCATTTTGGTCAATTTTGACGACTTTTTCAATGTTCCAAAAACCAACCAAATATGCTGTAAAAGGAAAGATATTAGTCTTATGAAGCAATTTTTAGCATTTTAAGACAGTTTTTGAACAGTTGAAAAAGTCGTCAAAATTGAGCAAAATGGTAAGGGGTAAGACTTACCATTTTTGAAGACTTTTCAATGTTCCAAAAACCAACTAAATAAGCTCTAAAATGAAAGATATTACGGTTAGGAAGCCATTTTTAGCATTTTAAGAAACTTTTTTAACAGTTGAAAAAATCGTCGAAATTGACCAAAATGGTAAGGTGTAAGACTTACCATTTTTGAAGACTTTTTCAATGTTCCAAAAACCAACGAAAAATGATTTAAAATGAAAGATATAAGTCCTAGGAAACCATTTTTAGCATTTTAAGACACTTTTTGAACAAATGAAAAAGTCGTCAAAATTGACCAAAATGGTAAGGGGTAAGACTTACCATTTTTGACGACTTTTTCAATCTACCAAATACCAACCAAATATGATCTAAAATGGAAGATATTAATCTTATGAAGCAATTTTTAGCATTTTAAGACAGTTTTTGAACAGTTGAAAAAGCGGTCAAAATTGACCAAAATGTTAAGGGGTAAGACTTACCATTTTTTAAGACTTTTTCAATGTTCCAAAAACTAACGAAAAATGATTTAAATTGAAAGATATTAGTCTTATAAAGCAATTTTTAGCATTTTAAGACAGTTTTTGAACGGTTGAAAAAGTCGTCAAAATTGACCAAAATGGTAAGGGGTAAGCCTTACCATTTTCGTCAATTTTGACGACTTTTTCAACGGTTCAAAAATTTCTCAAAATGCTCTAAAATGAAAGATTTAAGTCTAAGGATGAAATTTTTAGCATTTTAAGACAGTTTTTGAACAGTTCAAAAATTCGTCAAAATTGACCAAAATGGTAAAAGGGGTAAGACTTACCATTTTTGACGACTTTTTCAATGTTCCAAAAACCAACCAAATATGATCTAAATTGAATGATATTAGTCTTATAAAGCAATTTTTAGCATTTTAAGAAAGTTTTTGATTAGTTGAAAGAGTCGTCAAAATTGACCAAAATGGTAAGGGGTAAGGCTTACCATTTTTTACGACTTTTTCAATGTCCCAAAAACCAACCAAAATATGATCTAAAATGAAAGATATTAGTCTTAGTAAGCAATTTTTAGCATTTCAAGACAGTTTTTGAACAATTCAAAAAGTCGTCAAAATTTACCAAAATGGTAAGGGGTAAGACTTACCATTTTTGACGACTTTTTCAACGGTTCAAAAAATTTCTCAAAATGCTCTAAAATGAAAGATTTAAGTCTTAGGATGTAATTTTTAGCATTTTAAGACAGTTTTTGAACAGTTCAAAAAGTCGTCAAAATTGACCAAAATGGTAAGGGGTAAGACTTACCATTTTTGACGACTTTTCAATGTTCTAAAAACCAACTAAATATGATCTAAAATGAAAGATATTAGTCTTAGCATGAAATTTTTAGAATTTAAAGACGGTTTTTGAACAATTGAAATTTGAAAAAGTCGTCAAAATTGACCAAAATGGTAAGGGGTAAGCCTTACCATTTTGGTGGATTTTGGCAACTTTTTCATTGTTCCAAAAACCAACCAAATATGCTCTAAAATGAAAGTTATTAGTCTTAAAAAGCCATTTTTAGCATTTTAAGACTGTTTTTCAACATTTCAAAAAGTCGTCAAAATTGGCCAAAATTGGTAAGGGTTAAGCCTTACCATTTTGGTCGATTTTGGCGACTTTTTCATTGTTCCAAAAACCAACCAAATATGCTCTAAAATGAAAGATATTAGTCTTAGGAAGCCAATTTTAGCATTTTAAGACAGTTTTTGAACAGTTCAAAAAGTCGCCAAAATCCACCAAAATGGTAAGGGGTAAGCCTTACCATTTCGGTCGATTTTGGCGACTTTTTCATTGTTTTAAAAACCAACCAAATATGCTCTAAAATGAAAGATATTAGTCTTAGGAAGCCATTTTTAGCATTTTAAGACAGTTTGTGAACTCTTCAAAAAGTCGTCAAATTTGACCCAAATGGTAAGGGGTAAGCCTTACCATTTTGGTCGATTTTGGCGACTTTTTCATTGTTCCAAAAACCAACCAAATATGCTCTAAAATGAAAGATATTAGTCTTAGGAAGCCATTTTTAGCATTTTAAGACAGTTTGTGAACTCTTCAAAAAGTCGTCAAATTTGACCCAAATGGTAAGGGGTAAGCCTTACCATTTTGGTCGATTTTGGCGACTTTTTCATTGTTCCAAAAAGCAACCAAATATGCTCTAAAATGAAAGATATTAGTCTTAGGAAGCCAATTTTAGCATTTTAAGACAGTTTTTGAACAGTTCAAAAAGTCGCCAAAATCCACCAAAATGGTAAGGGGTAAGCCTTACCATTTCGGTCGATTTTGGCGACTTTTTCATTGTTTTAAAAACCAACCAAATATGCTCTAAAATGAAAGATATTAGTCTTAGGAAGCCATTTTTAGCATTTTAAGACAGTTTGTGAACTCTTCAAAAGTCGTCAAATTTGACCCAAATGGTAAGGGTAAGCCTTACCATTTTGGTCGATTTTGGCGACTTTTTCATTGTTCCAAAAACCAACCAAATATGCTCTAAAATGAAAGATATTAGTCTTAGGAAGCCAATTTTAGCATTTTAAGACAGTTTTTGAACAGTTCAAAAAGTCGCTAAAATCCACCAAAATGGTAAGGGGTAAGCCTTACCATTTCGGTCGATTTTGGCGACTTTTTCATTGTTTTAAAAACCAACCAAATATGCTCTAAAATGAAAGATATTAGTCTTAGGAAGCCATTTTTAGCATTTTAAGATAGTTTGTGAACTCTTCAAAAAGTCGTCAAATTTGACCCAAATGGTAATGGGTAAGCCTTACCATTTTGGTCGATTTTGGCGACTTTTTCATTGTTCCAAAAACCAACTAAATATGCTCTAAAATGAAAGTTATTAGTCTTAAAAAGCCATTTTTAGCATTTTAAGACAGTTTTTGAACATTTCAAAAAGTCGTCAAAATTGACCAAAATTGGTAAGGGGTAAGCCAGGCTTTTGGTGGATTTTGGCGACTTTTTCATTGTACCAAAAACCAACCAAATATGCTCTAAAATTAAAGATATTAGTCTTAGGAAGCCACTTTTAGCATTTTAAGACTGTTTTTAAACGGTTGAAAAAGTCGTCAAAATTGACCAAAATGGTAGGGGTAAGCCTTACCATTTTGGTCGATTTTGGCGACCTTTTCATTGTTCCAAAAACCAGCCAAATAAGCTCTAAAATGAAAGATATTAGTTTTAAAAAGCCATTTTAAGACAGTTTGGGAACTCTTTAAAAATTTGTCAAATTTGACCCAAATGGTAAGGGGCAGAGGAGGTTGGACAGCAGGCCGCAAAGCATGATGGGTATTGAGCGCTCAATTATGCGAACGCTTCATTTGACGTTTTGACTGTCGTGATGTGAAGAGCTCTGCGAGTATAGGAAAAATGGATGCTTTCGAAAGACAGGATTTTCAAGCTGCGATAGTGCAAAATACTATGATGTATATGTATTGTTGCGATCCGCATTACGACTTATCTTTTACTGTACCGAGTTTACCGTTTTTTAAGCTGCATGGGCTTTGCTGCCATTTCGCCTTTCATAATACTCCGTCTGAAAGAAGACTTTGTATTATACCAAACACCGAAGCACTGCTTTCGAAGTTGAATGGCCTTAAATCTCCTTGTGTCATCAACGTTAAAGCAAGTACTATATTTGAGGTTAGTATAAAGTACTTGTCAACACCTCATTTTTTAATATTTTTTATTAACTTTTAAGGCTTGATTTGTGTATTAAAATTTAACTGAAACTTTTTTTTAGTTTGGTACTATCCCTGATGAATTTATTCATTGTAAAGCGGAGAGAATGCTTTTAATTTGGGATTTTGATGTGGATCGTGTATTGACAGAAAATACGAGCGCTGTGGATGCGGTTACTCCTGATTTTGATGACATCGAAATTAATAATGAGGACAGTGAAGAAGATGAAAGTGAAGAAGTTGAAAGTGATGAGGAAGAAATCACTCATGCTCTACCATTCAAGTGCATTGGAGCTGCTCATGAACAAAGTTACCAACATCATCTGGAACAGGCATATCTTGCCCTTGAATATAATGAATCAGTAAATGTTAGACTAAGACCAGAGCCGGAGAATCCTCGGGACCAAAATGCAATTGCTATTGATCTTCATTATGGAACTCAATGGGAAAATGTTGGATATATAGCTTCTGAACATTGCAAGTATTTACATCCACTGATTGCAGCAGGAGATATACTAGACGTCTATGTTGAACACATCAAGTTTCGGGTTAACTTTTTAAAAATAGGAAAATCTGGATAAAGAGGCGTGGTAAATGGGAAGGTCAGATTGTAAGGGCTAGTATGAGTGTACGTTGACATATAATTTCATAAGAACCAGGGTTTGCAAGTTGTGAATTTCTGCAATTATTCCATTGGCTAACTATGTAGATTTTTCCAGCATTTTTGCCATCAACTTGTTTTTAGTCTGGTTTCCATATGACAATCAAGTTGTTGCATAATAACTAATAATGATAGATATTTTTCTTAATGGTTAACACAACACCCTGACAATGTTGTATGGAAACCAGGCTTTCTATTTTATATCCTCAAAACCTATTGTCTATAACCAAAGCACTTCACTGTCATGTGATATTTCATACAAACCCTTGCAGTATTAAGAAAATTAGAAAAATATTCATACAATACATGGTATAAATATGTAAATCTGTATTTATTGATGAACAAATAAATAAACTCATCAAATTTTATTATGGTTATAAAATATTGTAAGTAAAATTGCCTTGACAAAACAGCCAAGATTTTGCATTTATACATATATTTACATGATGTTCAAAAAAGTAAAAACCTGCATACACACACCATTGTTTTTTGTTTCTATGCTATTGTTTCTATGCTAATAGCATTTACAATTCATGCAAACTTGAAGATCAATTGTACTAGATAAGGTGTTCATGCCTTTAGCTTTTCAATCAACCTAATATACATAAATATTGCCAGTTCTAACACACAATGGCTTAGTAATGCAGATCTTAACTCACACTAACTGTAAACATCAACAAGCATCTAAAGAACAGAACCAATATAAAATGTCAGTTTATTTTACTGAAGAAGTGAAAACATATAATCACACAATATGTTTCATATTTATCAATTTTGTGAAGGTGGTGGTGGTGGTAAGCCTTCTGGTTGTTTGAAATGTGCTGATCTAACACTCAATTGACCAAGTTGTGGGATTACAGCTAGGCGTTAGCGAATGAGCATAGGAGTCGTCACTGCCAAAAATGGAAATCTATATAAAATACAAAAAAATACTATTTTCCCGTCTAAATGTTAATAACTAAGGAAGTTAAACCATGAATACAAATAAAATTTACATTAATATTACAAATTATGTAGTTAAACAATATTTGAAAGGGAAATATCCCATTGACCCGAAATGCGCTATTTTGAACATCTCAAAACAAGAGTGGTAAATTCAAAGCCCGATATCTCGGAAATGGTGTGGGGTCGCAAGGGGTCGATCCAGCCGATTTTTTTTTTACATACTTAACTTCATTCTTACAAAGAATCTCAAAAGATCGAACCACAGGAATTCGAGATTTTTCAACTTTGAAAATTGTAAACAGACAAGCACATGACTCATCACTTCGGAACGACCCGACCAACTTCAGTTATAAAAATCGACTTAAAAAGTAACGCTTACCTCGATAATCTCGACAGATATCGCCAGTCCAATGAATCTTTTTTCAAAAAATATGCGTTTTAATCAGTAAATTTAAAAAAATACTCAATATTTTTATGTTTCTCCGTCTTATGTAAATTTTCTCGCTCAAATCTTCGCAAAAGCCGCTTGGAAAATAGCGCAATCTCATTGGTCGAGAAATTCACGTGACAGCTGTCCAACCTCCTCTGGGTAAGGGGTAAGCCTTACCATTTTGGTCGTTTTTTGCGACTTTTTCATTGTTCCAAAAACCAACCAAATAAGCTCTAAAATGAAAGATATTGGTCTTAATAAGCCATTTTTAGTATTTTAAGACAGTTTTTGAATAATTCAAAAAGTCGTCAAAATTGACCAGAATGGTAAGGGGTAAGCTTTACCGATTTGTCGATTTTGGTGGCTTTTTCATTGTTCAAAAAACCAACCAAATATGGTCTAAAATGAAAGATATTAGTCTCAAAAAGCCATTTTAAGACAATTTTTGAACACTTCAAAAAGTCGTCAAAATTGACCAAAATGGTAAGGGGTAAGCCTTACCATTTTGGTCGATTTTGGCGACTTTTCATTGTTCCAAAAACCAACCAAATATGCTCTAAATTAAAGAGATTAGTCTTAAAAAGCCATTTTTAGCATTTTAAGACAGTTTTTGAACAATTCAAAAAGTCGTCAAAATTGACCAGAATGGTAAGAGGTAAGCCTTACGGATTTTGTCGATTTTGGCGACTTTTTCATTGTTCTAAAAACCAACCAAATATGGTCTAAAATGAAAGATATTTGTCTTAAAAAGCCATTTTAAGACAATTTTTGAACACTTCAAAAAGTCGTCAAAATTGACCAAAATGGTAAGGGGTAAGCCTTATCATTTTGGTCGGTTTTGGCGACTTTTCATTGTTCCAAAAACCAACCAAATATGCTCTAAAATGAAAGATATTAGTGTTAGAAAGCCATTTTTATGAAAACAATACTATTGAACGCATAAAATAATCGGGAGACCAAAGGAAGGAAAAATCCTAATTTTCGTCATTTTTTTTTAAATTTAAAAATTCGTTTGAAAATACGTTGAAATGCTTCAAAATTAAGTAGAATTGCATTCTTTCATGAAACAATACATTTGAACACAAAATCTTAATTTTTGTCAATTTTTCAAAATTTTAAAATTCGGTTGAAAATGTGTCGAAATGCTTCACAATCAACTAACGAGCAGCGGATCGGATCGGATCGGCTTTTTTTCCGAGCTGGTCCGATCCATGAAGTGATTTCGGATCGGATCAAAAAAAGCTACTTGAACTTTTTTTATCCGGTCTCGGACGCTTTCGGATCAATAAAAGCCAAAAATTTCAACAGACGGCGCACGCGCGGATTATCTTTCGTTCCGATCCGATCCGATCCGCTGCTCGTTTTCCGGAGTGGAAATTAGCCTTTAGCTATAGTATTATAAGATGTACACGGCTAACATAGCTATTTAACGCTGCGTTTACTTGGAATATTACTATTCCTCCTAAGCAAAATTTGAGCTGGTCAACGAGATTCCGACAACTGGTAGCGTTGGCCTTCCTCTCAAGGCGATGATGAAAACTGTATCATGGATTTAAATACAGCACGCATGATCTTTTCCTATGTACTGCTCAGTCTGCTCTCGTGTAAATAGCCACTGATATAACCGGAAAATTTCCCGGTGGGCCCCTGGAAATTTAGCTATAATGGGCCCCAAGCAGTTAAAGCTGATAAATTAAAATATTTTGGCTCCAAATTTGTAACAAAGCAATACGAAACATTTAAAAAATTGAGTGCTGCGTTGAAAGGTATAGAATTTACATATTCATCCATGAAACTTAAAAAAACCTTTGCTCGCTATAAGTTATAACAAATGAGATCAGCTTCAAGTATCACTAACATTACTTTGGATTCCGGTATGTTCTGTCACAAATCCCGGGTGTAATTTCTAACCTCTGGGCGGAATGGACCTTTTTCATAATGACGTCAAACGAGGAAAGTATGATGTTACACGAAGTTTGATTGGCTCGATAGTTTTGTGGAGCCAATCAAATTTCGTGTAACATCGGACAAATGACATCACAAAGTAAAATGATTTATTCCATTTTGCTGTTTTGACTGGAATTTGACTTTTTTAACGATTGCATGAAAATTCGGATTTTTACTTCGGACAGTAGGCCCTCGTAACTATGATTCCCAGCCCCTATTTTAGTGCCAAGCCGCCCCTGCACGTGTCCCTACATTCGCCGAAATCTCTCGATATAGCAAGCTAGCAATCTCGCAGATAATCGTAGAGCAAAAGACATATTACCTGTTCTTACACCAGCGACAGGATAGTAACATTTTTCAGTCGAAATCAGTTATAGTCCAGGAGACGAGTGGCATGCACTGCTCAAATGGTGCTGCCGAAGTTGGAGCATAATATTTCACTTTAGTCTTTACCAGCCATGCTATTGGCTATACACACCTAACCGGACAGCTCAACCATGCTTTGGATTGGACAGTTTTTATCATTTTGAATAATATGAATAATTTTTCTCCTGAGCCAGAAAGGCCTAGGTATAATAATAAACTTCGCATTTGAACTCCGCATTTTGTAATTCGCGCTGCAAAGAACGCTTTCCAAATTTTCTCAACCCTGGGCCATAGAAATCCTTTGAACTTTTATATTTAGTGGAGAATTATGTGCACTTTCAAACGGTATGTAACATGGAAGTGGATTGGCCGTAGAAATATATAAAATTCCGTCTTGAAATCAAACATATTTGCACGCGCGTCTCTTATAAATTAATTAATAATAATAATACCTATTAGCGCGCAGCAAAGCCGGGCGACAGTAATCCCTATTTACTTGGAAATAATATGCTCTTTCAAACAGTGTGTAACATGAAAGTGGGTTACGTCAAAAAACGATGAAATTACGTCTTCAAATCAAACGTCTCGAATGTCGCGCGTACTTCATACTTTGGTGCGGTTGAGTTTGAGACAGAATTTCATACATTTCGAAAAAGGAATCACTTGAACATTGCAAACTTTTTAAAAGAGTGTGTCATTATGTACTATTTACGAACGTATAGTGAAGTTCCACAGAATAGAGGCTGAGAAAATTGCGATTGTTTAACGAGTAGTCTTTTCGCGTTTTTTAATTAATTAATAATGCTCAGGCATGTCTTAATATACTGCAATTTTCTCAGCCGCTATTTTATAGAATTTCTTCAAAACTCCGTATTTAGTTTGAAGTAATATGCTCTTTCAAACAATGTGTAACATGAAAGTGGGTTACGCCAAAAAACAATGAAATTCCGTCTTTACAATCATGTCATTGCTTCAATGACGAAAAAATATAATTTTTTTTCTTTTAGATATTTATGACGTAGTGTATATATTTATTCATATAATTTCTACAGATAAAGGGATATATTGCATTCTCAAAATCTGCACCTTTTTTGCGAGTACATCATTATTGGTTGCATATTAAGACGCTGATGATAAATATGACAAATGTAAGTTAGTTGGTATAATACACAAGAATAGCTTCACACCCATATATTGTTAGACAGCTTTCATGTTGCCTGTAGGAGCTTATA